ACTGATCCCTGTGGTAATCCACAGGTAACAGTTTTGTTTATATGGAGGACCAGCTCTACCATAAAAATAAATAAATGCTCAATAAATAAATAAGCATACAATTAATTGCCCCCCAAAATACAGTAAACAAATAAATGTAGATAGAAATTAAATTATACAGTGAGACATAAATGTATATATCTCTTTTAATTAGCTTCTTTGTCTTTCACCTTTGTAATAATTACCTTATTTATTGTCAGTTATAATCTTCAACTATATTCATTTATTACTTATGTTTTTAAGTATTTATTGTTGTACATGTTATATATTTGTCTGGTTTATTCTTCCTTTTTAATTTTTAACCCTATTTATTTCTGCCTCATTATGCAAATGAGGAGGGGGCGTGTCTTAGAGGACACCTTCTGCTGATTGGTTGGCAGCTCATCTTTTTATCTCACAGACCTCAGAGGATTAAAACTACCTTGATAATTAGATCAGGCAACTTAGTCATTTTTTTCAAAATGTATTTTATTGCCATCTCTTAAAAACTAATTTCTGAAATTATCAAATGTTGTGGATATTTATTTTAACTAATAACTACGAGTGCTTACAGTCTAAAGTAGATGGAAATTTAAAATTTTTGACCTTAAAGCTCCTTCAAAAAGAGAAACTCTTTGTTAATGTTTTTTTTAAGAATTTATTGGTTGACAATTAAGTTTCAGGTTTTATTCTCAAATCAGCCGTTGGCAGTTTGTACGAATGACTAGATGTTTTTTTACCCTGGGTCTCTTTGTCATACCTTTAATTCTAAATATATTTACTCATGATCTGTAAAATTTACAGACTTCATAAACACCTAATGTCATGCATCATATAAAAAGGTATAATTTGGCCCAAAAAAAGACCGCTGAGGTTTTTGTGGATTTTCACGCCAGTAGCAGCGAAGGTCACTTTGGTAAAAAAAACAAAAAAATAAACCATAGCAATAATTTCAGAGGTTTTTTTCTGGCCTACATCCGTCTTCATCAATGACTTTTTGGGTTATTATTTTTTTTTCTTACATTCAGTTTTTTATCCAATCAATTCACTCATTTAACCAGTTTCTGTCCTGCAAGGTTAAAAATATTTAACAAAATTCATTTTTACGTGCATACATTCTCTAGCTTGAAGCTACAGAACAGCAGATAAACAACCAGAGCGCCGAGCAGCAAAGCAACTGGACAAGTTTGACGCAGATTTCTGCGTTTGCACGTTTTTGACGCCTAAAACGCTTCTGATGTGACCCTAGCATTAGCCAGCCACTGTGAGCAGCTCCGGAGGCGGCCACTAGAGGGCGAAATATAAAAGGTCTCCTTCAGATCAATAAGCAATCAATCAGATATCAGACGAAACAATCATGAGTTCATTTTCACCACTTTTTAATAAACAACAGGAAAAAAAGAGGCTATAATACAATAAATAAAACTATCTACAGCAGCTTTAGAGCAGAGTGGGCGGAGCCTATTTATGCCACGCCCTTCTGGTTCTCATGGGAGCGCTGATGGAAGACAAAGGAGACGGCGCTGTCCCAGGACGCCTTCAGCACCTGGTCTCTCAGTCCCTTCTTGTCAGAGCAGTGGTTCCACTGGGAGAGGTCACTGGTGCAGTCGGTTCCTTCCGGAGGCGGCCGGACCTCTCTGCCGTTGACGCAGCGGCGGCAGTGAAACCTGCAAACAGGAAGGAGGTCCGTTAGACTTGACTAAGCCACGGTCTGGTACCAGCATCGGTCCCATAAACCATCTCTGCTCTGTGGCGATCCGGCTTCAACCGTTGTTCTTACTTGTCGTGCGTGTCGCTGTGGGTTTCCTCGCTGAGGGTGAAGAGTTCGCGGAGCTGTCCCAGGGAAAAGTGGCGCTCCACGTCCTGCTCCTCGTCCACCACGCAGCTGCTCAGCGCTTTCTTATGGGCCTGTCTCTGCAGGATCTTCTCCTCGATGGTCCCCGTCTGCCAGAAAACAAACATCCATCATCTGCAGAAGGTCCCGGTCTACCACACCTGCCACCATGAAGAGTCTTCCTCACAGAGATCAGTCTGTAGACGTAGCAGGTCTTCTTCTGGCCGTCTCTCCACACCCGGGCCATGGCCTGCTCGTCGTTGGCTGGGTTCCAGTCGGGGTCAAACATGACCAGGCGGTTGGCGCCGATCAGATTGAGGCCACACCCCCCTGCCTTGCTGCTCAGCATGAAGATGAACTCGGGGTTCTGTGGGACACAAACGTCAGGCTTCAGCTCCGCCTCCCAGCTTCAAAGCAAACCTGTTCTTCAGACTCACATGTGGACTGTTGAAGGTCTCCACCACCTTGGCCCTTTTCTTGATGGACATGGTTCCGTCCAGTCGGACGTAGAGGTACCTGAAACACACCCGAACCGCTTTGGTTAACAGACCATTCCATTCCATCAGAACCCGCAGAGACCTTCCTTCAGTTCACCTTCTAAAGCGGCACAGCTTCTCAAACAGGTCCAGGGTTTGGGTGTAGTTGGACACCAGAACCACCTTATCACTGGTGGTGGATTTGGTCACCGCCAGGATGTAGTCCAGAACCAGCATCTTACCTAGACCAGAGGACAGGATCAAATGGGAGCAGAACAGTCATTTTAGAACCCGACCAGAGCTGTGACCCAGAAACGCCCACGGCTGGCAGGATCCGGAACCAGTCCTAAAACCATCTACCTGCTGCCAAGCTAACTGGAAATGATCTAACCCACGCATCTCCAAGGTGGGTCCTGGAGGTTCCTCTGCTTCAGCACAGCTGATTCTGATGACTGAAGTTCAGCTGAAGCCTGTTAATCAGCTGCTGCAGCAGGAAACCTCTAAAGCCTACAGGACAGTGGCCCCCAGGGGCCCACTATGGGGCCTGATCTAACCGGTCTGCTACGGTTAGAAACTAGACCAGTTAGGGACCAGAGCGGTCCAACCCGTAACCAGTCCCTAATCCGACCGCCCTCTAACCGGTCCCATCCGCCTTCTAACCATCCGCCCTCCAACCGGTCCCATCCGCCCTCCAACCGGTCCCATCCGCCCTCCAACCATCCGCCCTCCAACCATCCGCCCTCCAACCGGTCCCATCCGCCCTCCAACCATCCGCCCTCCAACCATCCGCCCTCCAACCATCCGCCCTCCAACCATCCGCCCTCC